GATCAAAAGATAGGACTGGCTGAGCAATTAACTCCCAGGTGATAAATTTCAAGACTTTTAAATCTCTGAAGGAAGAATGCGCACAAGGCCAGAATGGTGAAGGATTAGGAATTTATTCGATCATCCACACACCAGGTGGCTGAGCCGGCATGGCTCTAGCACCCAGTGACGGTTGTCAGCCGATTTTAAAGGACTTTTGGCGGGATTTTTCTGGGTGGAGACTTCTTTATGCATACCTGGAGGGGAGGTAATGTAATGTGGTCACCACAAGTGAAATGTTGTCTCAGCAAAGGGAATGTCCATAGTGAAATGGCCTGAAAAGCCAGTTCCCAGGGAGGGGTATCGATTCACTTATTTGATCAGACCTAACAACTATTTTCCCTAATCAAAGATACCTAAGAACAGATGGTTTAAATTGCCTTAGGGAGACGTAAAATCCCTCGTCTTTTATTCATTTATTTATTTTTATTGTACTGAGAAACATCAATTTGTTGTTCCACTTATTTATGCATTCATTGGTTGCCCCTTGTATGTGCCCTGACTGGGGATCAGACCTGAAACTGGACAACCAATGGTCCGGCTGCCTCTCACTACTTGAGCCAATTAAGCAGAGACAGGGTTGAATCATATATGAACGTTTATTCCAATACTGCTGGCAGGATGGGAGAGCAGCAGGTCACCCACAAAAATCTGCTCTGCAGCCCCCCATAAGCCAGCCAGCTGCTTATACAGGGTAGGACAAAGATTACATGGTAAAGTATGCAAAATGGGTATCCCAGGCATGGGGAAGTAGGCAATGCGGGCTGGGGTGGGACTCCATTGTTTGGGCAATAAGGTTGCTAATCTTTCCATGATAATAGGCAGTTCTTGAGTGAGAATGGATCACATTCTAAGGTTGACTCCCAGGTCCAAGGTTGACTGCCAGGTCCCTGGGGGTACAACTCCCAGCCAGGTTAGAATGTCCTTTCTTTAATCACAACAAGGCAATCACGATTAACAGAGCATGAGTAATAGTTCTTATAACTATAGCTAGTCCCCAATATTCTATTTTTGCCCTAACAAAACCTTGATGTATTGGGATGATGCTCTAACCAACTGAGCTACCCAGGGCAAACCTCCTCATATTTCTCCCCTTGGGGAGAAAGATTTGAGCTTTCTCCCTGTCTCCTGTTTTGGTTACCGTTCTGCCTGGATAGAGTGGCTCAGTTGTTTGAGCGACATCCTGTGCACTGAAAGGTTGCCAGTTTGATTCCCTGTTAGGGCATATTTCGGGGCTGTGGGTCCTATCCCCAGTAGGGCCATGTGCAGAAGGCAACCGA